TATAAATGAGCAAAAAAGGTGTTGGATAGAAGACAGTCTTGGGATCTCTCTTCTTTACTCATGGTTTGAATCTGGTGAATACTATCCTTAATGAGAGCCAGTATCTCCTGAGTTCTTACTTTGCACCGGTCCCTAAACACAACATATATTAACACACTTCATTATCCAATAACTTTATTAAGCATATATGGTTATCCTCATTTTAAAGATGAGACCATAGAGGCACAGAGAGATTAAGTAACTTGTCAAAGACAACACAGCTAAACATGGCAAAACCAGGATTCAAACTTAGATTGTCAAATGTCAAAGCCCCTTACCCTAAACTAAGTTTACTAGGGGCTGGGGATTCAGCTCAGCGGTGCTAGACCTGGCTTTCAAGTACACGGTTCTGTTTTCGATCCCTGTTATGAAGGAAAAAAAAAAAAAAGGAAAGGCTCTGCAGTATCTGTAGTCACTCAACTTTTGCAAGCCTCTGTCTCATCTGTTGAGAGTTGCTGACTATCTCACAGAATTGTTGTACTGGATGAGACACACAATAGGTTTTCAGTGTGACCCCAAGCCCCTTTCATGGTCTGGTGTTAAGGTTCTGCTGCTTGGACTTGGAGGTCTAGAGGTTACAGAGTTAGGAGACCTCTGGCTCTGGTCAGCCTAGGAGGGAGCCTGGCCTAGGGCAGGGGACCTGTGTCCTTTTCCCTCTCCGTTTTCAGCTGCCCCGTGGGTTCACATTTCCCTGCTCATTTTATTTCCATTGGCCCAGGAAGACATCCCCTAGGGAGTTTAGGGATCAGCCACATGGACTCCCTGTTCCCCATCTGTCCTCTCCCCCTCCCTGGGAAACAGGTGTGTCTGAGCCTGGGCTGGAAGCAAAGACCAAGTACTGAATGAAGGGCCTTGGGTAAGGATCTGGTAGTCCCTTCATCACCCGAGAGGTTCCCCACATACCTTTTCCTTTCTCATGCTCAGGGTTACTTTGCCATCCTCTCACTTTACTAGAGTTTTTAAAACTAGTTCCTGGGTCACTATTGACAGGCCTTTCATGGCTTGCTCTCGGTGCTGAATCACTCCCTGGTGCCTGTAACCACAAGTCCTCCTTCCTCCCACTGAGAAAATATCCTTCCTTCTCTGGCTATATTGCTCACTCTTGCCGCTGTGATGCCTAAAGTCCTCCCAGGCCGCAAGGCTTAGCAGACACCCTCATTCAAATTGCTCAGAAACTTTCCTTTTGATCCTAAGCCTGGCAATGGGTTTGTGGATGGGGAGGGTAAAATGACATGAGTGACTTTCCCAGAGAATGGGGGTGGTGGGAGATGGAGGGAGAACTAGTGTGATTAAGTGATGCGGGGCATCATGCTTAGATTGGTCATTGCCTGCTTTAGTCTTCAAAAAAAAATCATATGAGGTGGTTATTTTTATTTCATAGAAAAGGACATAATGATCAGAGATTTTTGACAATGTGGCTCCAAATCACAAGCCAAGAAATGATAAATTTGTAATTCCAATTCAGAGCTGACTGCATGGTTCCCTATGTTCAGTGCTCAGAGCTGGATTCTCTGCTAGTCACTCAAGATTCTATAGGGGAAGTGGCCAGGGCTGCTACCTAGTCACTCTGGATGGTGGCTATTTGTTTTTTTCGTGGTGCCAGGGATTGAATCCAAGGTCTTTGTGTGAGCTACAGTCTCAGACCCTTTTTTATTTTTTATTTGGAGAAAACACTCTTGCTTAGCTGCTAAGTTGCCCAGGCTAGGCTCAAACTTGCAAGCCTCCTGCCTCAGCCTCTCAGAGTGCTGGAATTACACCTCTGCCACCATGTTTTTTGTTTGTTTGTTTGTCGTTGTTTTTGAGACAGTCTTAATATGTCAGCCTGATATAGGCCAGGGTGGCCTTGAACATGTGATTCTCTTGTCTCATACTCCCGAGTGCTGGGATTACAGGTGTGTACCACCACACTGTCTCACAGGGCTCCTTCATTGAGAGGAGCATGGAAAGGTGGGCCAAGGTCAGCTCATGAAGGAGTTTTGTCTTCCAATGATAATCGACAAACAAGATGGAATTTTGTCCTGGTTAGGCAAGGCTTAAACACAGTCAGGAAGAAACTTCTCACATAGCAGATCTCAGTTACTGTCAACTCTTCCATGTGCACTGCTTGGCTGGACTGGCACCTCTGGGGATTCACTGAGAGGATTTCCCCAGAGTTCCTCAACTGGAGGGATGACCACTGTCATGAGAAGAGGATACACTTGCAGAACCTGCTGAAAGTCAGCTTCATGTAGTAGAGAAGAAACCAAATGCCTCTGGGATGCTTTTCTGTGTCCAACTCTCTCGCTAGACTTAGATGTGGGTGTTGTAATAATAACAATAACAGTGAAGCGCCATTAAATGTGAATCTACTAATGGAGAACACAGTATTGAGCACTTTATTAATTATTTATTTTTTGAGATAGTCTATGTAGCTAAGGCTGGTCTTCAATTCATTATGTAGTCTAGGCTGGCCTTGAACTTGCAATGATTCTCCTGCCTCAGCCTCCTGAATGCTGGGATTTCAGGCGTACACCACTATGCCCAGCTAAGCACTTTAAACATATTATTTTTCACAACAATCCTGTGGGTCTAGTAATATTACCTTATTTTATAGGTGGGCAGATGAAGGCTCAGGAAAGCAAACTTTATCATGGCTGTTAGCAGTTGGGATCAGAACACCCCTTCATGGTTCATAGTCCTAACCATTACATTGTAGTGCCTCTGACATTCAACCTGTCAGCCAGCCATTCTTGTGGGGGTGTGACAGACTTAGAACTTTACTTTTTAAAATTTGTATTGGTACATGTTTGCAGTACACAATGATACATTCTTCAAGGGGAGTTGGTATATGTTCATTATACATCTTAGTTCTTTGTACTTTACTTTTCCCTTCCCCTCTTCTCACCTCCTCCCTCCATCACTTTTCCCATTTGCAAAAGATCTAGCTTCCTGTTTCCTATTATCTGTCTTTTATTTTGCTCTTTAAATTATTTACTCTTCAATGTTTTTCTTTTTCTTTTTTGGTACTGGGCATTGAACTTAGGTCCTTGTGTTTTTGAGGCAGGTGTCGGAACCACTGAGCTAAATCCCCGGCCCTCTTTAAATTATTTATACTTTGGGTTTCTCATATAAGAGAAACCATGGGATATTTAAATTTGTGTGCCTGATTTATTCCACTTGCCATTATCATCTCATGGTGCATCCGTTTTCCAATGAATGACTCAAATTTATCTTTTTTTATGGGAGAGTACTACTCTGTATAAATAGCACATTTTCTTTATTTGCTCATCTGTCAATGGACATATAGGTCACTTCTAAGATTTAGCTATTATGAGTTGTGCTGCTATAAACATGGGTGTGTATGTGTCTTTCTAACATGATGTCTTTAACTCTTTTAGGAAGATACTTAGGAGGGGCACAAATGGGTTGAATAGAATTTCTAGTTTTAGTTTTTTGAGGAATCTCCATTCTGATTTTCATAATGGTTGTACTGGTTTACATTGCCACCAACAATGAAAAAGGTTCCTTTTTACCCTGCAGCTGTGCCAGCATTAGTTTTTTTGGTGCCAGGGATCTAACTCAGGACCTTGTGCTTGCAAGGCAGGCAGCGGGACTACTGTAATTTCTTGATGATAACCATTCTTTCTGGAGCGAGATGGGCCCTTGTATTAATTTACATTTCTCTAATGGCCTAGAGATGGTGAACATGTTTTAGTATATTTATTTGCCATTTTTATTTCTTCTGAGAAGTGTCCATTCATTTCAGTTGCCCATTTTTTGTTTGGGTCTTTTATTTTTTAGGGGAATCTAATTTTTTTTGAGTTCGTTATATATTCTAGACATTAGTCCCCGGAGGAGTAGCTTGCAAAACTTTTTTCCCATTCATTAAGTTGTCTCTTCAGTCTGTTGGTTGTTTCCTTTGCTGTGCAGAAGGTTTTTATTTGATATAATCTGCTTTGTTGACTCTTGGTGTTAATTCTTGTGCAAGTGGGGCTCTATTCAGAAAGTCTTTGCCTATGCCCGTGTCTTGAAGAGTATTACCTTTCAGCAGATTGTTTTAATATTTAAACCTTTGATCCATTTTGATTTCTAGTACATGCTGAGAGATATGGGTTTAGATTTAATCTTTAGCATGTGTATAGCCAGTTTTTCCAGCAGGACTCAGAACTTTAAAACTATTGTCCTTAAACCAGGCAATGGGGACCCACACCTGTAATCCCAGCACTCTGGGAGGCTGAGGCAGGGAGGATCCCAAGTTTGAGTCCAGTTTGGGCAATTTAGCAAGACTCTCTCAAAAATAAAAAGTAAAATAAGGGTCAGAGATACAGTTCAGTGTGAAAGCCCTGTCTAAAGCCCAGAAACTAATAACAAGGAAACAAATTACCCGTCTATGCTACTTACAGATATGACTCTTCAACACCTGGCCCCATGAGACCAGACGTGCATGCTATTATTATCCTTGTTTTATGGGTGAGGGAAATGATGCTTATTAAAGGCAAGAAGTCTGCATAAAGTCACACGCCCAGTAAGTCAGTGGCAGAGCCAGATACAGCTTTTTTTTGGTATCGGGGATTGAACTCGGGACCTTGTGCTTCAGAGGCAGGCGGCAGAACCACTGAGCTAAATCCCCGGCCAAGCCAGATATAGCTTTAATGTCTCTTGTGCTCTCAGCATAGTACACTGCAAAATTCACAGAGCTCCCACCTTTAAATGTACCGCGTAAAAACCGGAAATGAGTCCAAGCCATAGGTGACTGCACATGCGCACACACCAAGCCCAGCTCAAACGGAGGGCAGTGCCAGCCACGTGTTCCCAGGTGCCCACGCGCAGCCTGGAGCAAAGGCGAGGTCTTGGGATGCGTGGACCTTCTCAGGCGAATAAGAGCAGGCTCTCATGTCACGTGATTTGCCATAGGAAACTACACCTCCCAGAAGAGCCCGCGAGTGTCGCCTGATCTGGAGGACGTACTTCTGGGAATGCAGGATCCTGATAGGCTGTCTGACGGAAGTGGGCGGTTCCAAGCGGGTGGTGGCTGGGTCTGTTTCCTGTAGGGTGGGTGCAGCGGCGGCGAGGCGTTGAGGATCCTGCGTTCTACACTGAGCTTCTGAGGACTCAGCGGGAAGGAATGGCGGCGGCTTTTCGCAAGGCGGCTAAGTCCCGGCAGCGAGAACACCGAGAGCGAAGCCAGGTAGGACCGCGCAGGCTCCATGAACGCTTGCCCGTGGCCCCATGTTCTCTCGCCCCAACCTCCTCGAGGCCCTGGAGTCTTGGTCCGGGCTACGGAGATCCTGTGTGTAGATAAGCGCAAATATTGCTTTGTTGCCAGCACCGCTGGGGCTGAGCCTCGAGTGACTATGGTCAGGGATTTGACCTTTTCTGTCCAGAGAGGGCACCGGCTGCTCCCCATTCCTAGGGGTTAATCACACCTACCCAGCAAGATTTCAGTGACAGTTGAGGTCAAAGCTCAAAGTGCCTTGCAGACGTTGTAATCTATATCCACGGCTCAGCTCTACCTGCTGCCTATAAGGTTCATGACCGAAGAGATTGATGTTAATGTGGTGCCATCATTATATGTGGGCTTTGTATTCACGAAAATCTGTCACATGTGTTTTGGTTTATGCCTCAGCCTGCAATGTTGGTGTTTTCCATCCCCATTGTACAGGTGAGGAAACTGAGGTCCAGAGAATTGCTTGACCGCTCACGAACACTTCATCCAGGCAAAATAAACTAGGATTTTGGAGGAGGATATGTTTGTGTGGAGAGGTTTAGTAGATATAAGCTTCTGTGCAGAATTAATGTATCCATTTGACTGTTCTCAGTCATCACATATCTGATTCAGAAAGACCTTTAGAGATAACTTCTTTCCAGGTGGGGAAAGCTTCTGTGACTGATGACATAGAACTAAAGACTTTTAACCACACTTCAGTCTTCCTGCCTGATAGCATTCATTATGCGTTTTCTGTCTGCTAAGTAGTATACTGGGAGGAGTAATAAAGTTTGTCACCTTGTTTGGGAGAGTATGTATATGTGAACCTATTTTAGATGAGGAAGTGAAGGCTCAGGTAGGTAATGTCTTTGCCCAGAGACACACTGGCAAGTGGCAAAGACAAAAATCACATCAGGTGTTTTGAGTCCAGAGGGTACTCAAAGATGAATAAAGACGCACCTGTATAAGAAATGGCACATAAAAAATATTAAATGCCAAGTAGGAATGGGAAGGATAGAGATGCTGAGAGAAGATCAAGGTGAAACTTGTTCAACTACAGAGCAATTTGCTTTTAAAGACAGAGGTATCACCTTTGAGCACTACAATAGGCAAGGCACAGCCCTCCTTGCTTTACATGGATTGCTTCATAATCCTACAGTATCTTTATGAGGTGGATGTTATCCTTATTTTACAAATAAGGAATCTAGTGCTTAAGGAGATTGACTGGTGTATACAAAGACAATTGATTTGGATTATCCAAGAAGAGAGAAGGCTTTCAAGGATGGCCATCTACGTACCTAAGTAGAAATAAGTCTTTGAGGGAAGGGAGAGGAGCAGTCCATGCTGGAAGATGAGTGAACACATTGACCCTCATATTTCCTATTTGGATACTTTGAACTTCATCCTGTGGGTCCTTCAGTGAGGCAGTAGGGAAGCTGCTGCAGATATTTTGTATGGAAGGGGTTAAATGTTATGTAAACCATTTCAGATGCAGTATCAGTTTTCCTTCTGTAATGCAGATGTACCTTCAAGAGAACACAATGAATATCACAGTTTCTGCCTCATCTCATTGCTCTTTTGATCCTTGAATTTTCTTGCACCACTGTCAACCTCCCTTCATCTACTATTTTTAAAATAAAAATTACCAGGGAGAGGGAAAAATAAATAAAAATTACCAGGAGATGTTTTAGATGTTATTTTAAATACTGAGTTACTGTATCATTTGAAAGATAACAGATGACAAAGGTGACTATTAAAAATTCCACTAAAATTATTATGTAAATTTATTAGAAGTACATGTACTTTCTCTGAGGTAAAAATTGTTTCGAGCAGATGAGGATGCACTCTAGTGGTGTGTGGAAAAGCACACACTGTGGCCCCAGACAGAATGGGTTCTAGTTTTAGCTTTGCACTGCCTCTGTGTTCTTTGGTGTATCCTTCTCTAAACTTCATCCCCCTTCTGGAAAGTTGGTGTAACATGTTACTCTTTGTGATTCTTTTAAAAATGAAGTGAGATTGTGTAATGAGTAAAGCATATTGCTTTGTAACAGAGTAGGTGCCTAATAAGTGTGGCCTATGAAGTTGCTGTAAACAAAAGCATCTACTACAGACCCTGGCATAGATTAAGTGTTCAACATATAGTAGCTTGTAGAAAGATGATACAAACATTTAACCTTTGAATCCTCTAGGTTATCTATATGTGTGTCAGAGAAACTACTGTCATGCTTGCTTTTCTCTCATACCTTGTACCAAAGGTACAGTAGCAACAATAAACATTCTGGACACCTGCTGTGTGACAACCCATGTGCAGATGCTACTATTTACAGAAGCTCATTGAATCCTTACAATAACTTTAGAAAGTACTATTGTTATTAATTCACATTTAGGAAATACCTCAGAGAAGTTAAGTGATTTGTCCAAGTTCACAGATTAAAAGGTAGAGTTTAGATTTTCATCCCAGGTCTCCAGAATCTAAATTTAACTCCCTTACCACAGTTGCCTTCTTGGTACTATGTTTTCCCTTGGTAGTATTTTGTAAACCCTTGGATTAAGATGGTAGTAATTTTAGTACAACTGGCAACTGCTTGGTTAGTGCAGAGTCATTGTTGCCTCTCCCTGTCCTTAATAGGCCAAGAAACATACTATGGCAGTGCTATGACCTGCCTGGCACCTGTGTGGTCCCTCTCATCTTTGGGCAGAGCACAGTAGAGGGGAGGGGGAGGAACAGGATAGTGGGTTGGCTCCAAGGACATGGATTTACTGAGCACTCCAGAGACTCTTGTTCCCATCAGGTGTCATGTTGATCTGAGTGTGTGTTTGCTGAGGAAACTAAGTGCTGTTTTTTTCTTTTGTCTTTTAGCCTGGCTTTCGAAAACATCTGGGCCTATTGGAGAAAAAGAAAGATTACAAACTTCGTGCAGAGTGAGTCCAGTCTTTCTGGTAGAGGTGCTGCCAGAAAAGATTACAGCATTCCCAGACCTCAGCTGAAGTGTCCAGGTGTCCAACGGGGAATAATTTCCTACCATTGATAAAATGGCCAAAGCTCTGTCAGCCTGTTGGATATTTTTTATGACCCCAAACTTCTCCCTTTGTTTAGATAGAGTATTATTTATTTAACTAGCTGCATTGTAAGACTTTTTTATTATGTTGCTCTAGGGAATTTTGTTATGGTGGCTTTGATTTGCCTCTGCCTTAGTGTTTGAACCAAAAGCTGAATTTTTCTCCCTTTTCTTGAAGTGTAAGATATAATCTAAATCTCCATTCATTCAGTCTCTTACATCACATGTTGTGGTATGGAATGAGAAGATGTGAAAGATGGATTCATGAGACTGAGTGTGGGTGATAATGAACTCTGAAAATGTTTTATAAAACAATTATGCCCATTTTCCTTTTTTCTTCAGCATTTCATTTGCAAAATACTTAATTATTTGTTAGTGATATATATCAGCTGATGTCTTTCTTATGCTCTTTGTGTGAATGGTGTTGATGGATTAAGTGGTTTTCTGTAGGTCCCAGAGATTTTTGAGGCTAATAATAATACTTGAATGCTATTATTATGCCAAGCAGTGTTCTAGATTTCCCGTTTTTACACTTATCCCAGCAATCTTCTTGGGGTAGGGTAGCGGGACCCTGCTCATTTTCCAGATGAAATTGGGATAGAGAGTTGCTAACTGTCTTACCCAGGATTACTTAACCAGAAGTGGTGGAATGTAGATTTGAACTGATGTTGTGGCTCCAAAGTCCACCATTTTAGTCATTGTACTGTGACTCATATTGGTAATTTGGTTCTGAAACTTGTGGCAGAACTCTGCCTGGGAAATTTTGTCCTTTTGTGTGTGTGTGTGTTTGTCCCTGTAATGATATAAGTGGCACTAAGATAAAAGTGGGATGGGAGACAGTTAATTTCAGGTATGATCAGAATAAGAGTGGACTATAGATTATGGACCCTATAGAGACATGAGCCCACTTCAGTGAAAGTGGAACGTGGGTCAGCTCCAGTCATTGCTTTGGTGTTTTTGAATTTTATTTTGTGTGAACTTTTAGATGCCTGTAAAGTTTGTTCAGTGTGTGTGCTTCAATGAATATTTCATCTGCTTTTTTAGTGACTATCATAAAAAACAAGAATTCCTCAAAGCACTTCGGAAGAAGGCTCTTGAAAAAAATCCAGATGAATTCTACTATAAAATGACTCGAGTTAAGCTCCAGGTGGGTTTCTGATGGGTCAGTTGGTGTTTCAATCCCCAGGTGTTGGAAAATAAGGATGGGGAAAGAGATAGAGAGGAAGGATTCTGGGGTTTAATTTAGCCCTTTTCTAGTTGGTTCGAGTATAGCGCAGATCTGCCTCTTCTTGAGCACCATATATTTCTCCTGTATCTTTTTTTGTTGTTTTTTTGGGACAGGGTCTCACTATGTAATCCAGGCTGGCCTTGAACTAGTGGTGATCCTCCTGCCTCAGCCTCCCCAGTGCTGGGATTACAGGCATGTGGCACCACACCTGGCATCTTCTATATCTTGAATTGTCTTATGTCTAAAGCTGTTCTAAGCAGATGGCTGGAGGTGCTACATTGAAAGTAGCACCAACAACCTTGGATTACTGTTACCATGCAACATTTGGTCATTTTTCTAACCACAAGCTATGCCAACAGTTTATTTATGATTTTATTCTAATAGGAAATGTGAGGGTCAGGGATTTAACTCAGTGGTTCCGCTGCGTGCCTGGAAAGCACAAGGTTCCAAGTTCGATCCTGGTATAAAAAAAAAAAAAGAAGAATGAAGACCTCTAATAGGAAATGTGTTTTTTAAATTTGGATTTTAGGATGGAGTTCATGTTATTAAGGAAACTAAGGAAGAAGTAACTCCAGAACAGCTAAAGCTAATGAGAACTCAGGATGTCAAATATATAGAAATGAAAAGGATTGCAGAAGCTAAGGTAACAACTCTTTGTTCTGTTATATTTTTACTGGTTAAGAAAGGAACATAAACCCATCAATATTCAGTTATCAGTTGATTTCCTCTGGTGTTCATAATCTTAAATATGGTTGATTGTGATAATGATTTAGAAGTATAGTCAGCATAGTGGTATAAAGAGTTCAAGTTTGAAAATGACACATAGGTTCAGTTCTGGCTCTGCCATTTACTTGCCCCATGACTATGGGTAAATTAATCTCTTTGAGATTTTTCTCTCATTTCCATCTCATAGGATTGTTGTAAAGATTGAGTGAGTTTTGTGGAATGCCTCACCCAGTACCAGGACATGTAATTGATGCTTGATAAATTTTAGTGGTCCTTCCCTTTAAAAGAATGAAATTCCTTGCTGGTTGGCAATAATGATGTGAAATTGTCTCAACGTTTGTAAATTTATTTCTGAGACTCCAGAAGAACCCAATTTTAAGTGAGATATTTTATATTTTAGAAAATTGAAAGACTAAAATCAGAGCTCCATCTGCTGGATTTCCAGGGGAAGCAACGGAATAAGCATTTGTTCTTTTTTGACACCAAAAAAGAAGGTAATGAAATGTTTGATGGTTTCTGGGAAAGTCTACTGTGTCACTCTGTGTCGTTTGGTACAGACCGTGACTTAAGGATTATCTTGAATTTTAGTTGAACAGTTTGATATTGCCACTCACCTGCAAACAGCCCCGGAACTAGTTGACAGAGTCTTTAACAGACCCAAGATAGAGACCTTGCAGAAGGAAAAAGTGAAAGGAATTACCCATCAGACTCGACTGAAGGTAATTTTCTCCATTGTTACACAGTTAGGAGTTTGGTTCTTTTTTTTTTTTTTCTCCATTGTGTTTTATATACTTATCTGTGGAAAACCCCTTGAGTTTCCTTAGAAAAATGGAAAGAGAATTTGATGATTGGGATGGAGAATAGAGAGCAACAGGAGGGCTAGCAGGCAGTGTGCTGGAGAGTATATGGTGTACTGTACTGGTCAGGAGTTTAGGCTCTGGCTCTTAGCTCTGGGTTTGAATCCCAGCTCTGACCTTGTTCTTTTAATACTTGAAACAGATGCCAACGATTAAGAAATGCCAAGGAAGGAGGGGACACGGAAGATTTAGGGATGTGGTATACAGAGCTTTGATATTAAACCTTTAGCAGTGAATACCCTTATTATATGCATTTATAACCAAAATTTCATATTGACTTTTCCTTATCGTGCTTTCCATCACTAACTGGGTTGTGGAGAAGACACGCTTTTCTCAAAGCCTTCTGGAGTTGAACTCTCACTTCTGACTGATTCATTTTTAAAAAAATGCTGTCAGTGTATTTCGAGTAGACAGCTGTTCTGTTTTGATTTGAATCATTTACACTGCATCAGTTTTGCTTCCAATGTTTAATTTCACAGCAGTCTTCTCTAGCTCAGAGGCAGCTAAACTTGCTTTAGTAATATAAATACCCCTAATTAGTTTGACTGTCTTGAGTAATCCCATAAATTTGACAGTCTGTGCAATAGAGTGAAAACAAAAGCTGTCTGGAACCACTGCTGTGCGACTGTGCTAGAATCAGTGGATTGTTGAAATCCGAGGCCCAACAATATTTCCCTTGATGTAGTTACACTTCCAGCTGAGGAGCTGGCTGGCTAGTGTTCTTGTGATGTATTTTCTTTTCTTTTTTTTTAGTTGTATTTTCAATTAGCTGTGTCACTGACACTTCTCAAGCATTTTGTGGTAGTACCTAAGGAGATTAGTATTCCAAACTCCTATGTAGAATAGTTCACCATCTTAACTCTTGAGAAGTTAAGGTTCAGATCTTGTCACTTTTGTCTAGTACTGTTTCACTCAGTTGTTTTGTTTAAAGCAAAATTATTTTTAAAGACTGCTGGTAGGTGAATTGCAGGTCTTGATGGGCTTTATGAGGTCTGTGAACACCCCTCCTCCACTGAAATTTTGTACAAATAGGTATATACAGGTTGAGCATTCCTAATCCAAACTCTGAAATCCAGAATGCTCCAAAATTTGAAACATTTTGAGTGCCGATGAGATGCCATAAGTAGAAAATTCCTCACCTGACCTTATTTGATGGTCACAGTCAAAATGTAGGCACACTAAAAATATTGTTTAAAATTATCTTCAGATTGCATGTATAACGGATATTGAAATATAAGTGAATTTCATGTTTAGACTTGGGTCCCCTCTCTAAGATAATGTTGTTATTTATATGCACATACCCTAAAACCTCCCAAAATTCTAAATCCAAAACACTTCTGGTCCCAAGCATTTGGGATGAGGGCAACTCAACTTGTATTTTATCTCAAGAAAGAATTTGTAGCTTTCATCCATTTCTCAGAAGTTTATGATTTCCCCAAATGTAAGGACCCCACTAGTGGTTTTTTTTTTTTTTTTTTTCTGGTACTGGGGATCAAACTCAGGACGTTGCATTTGCAAGGCAGGCGTGGTGCCACTGAGCCCCAGACCCCACTAATTTTTAGGGAGTCATTAGCAGTGCAGATTTTCAGGTCAGCCCCTGATAGAAAAATTTTTCTGCTTTCTGAGTTCTGATTCTCAGGCACCAGCACACTGCCTCATAGCCCCTCTTGCTCTCTATTGACTGGTGTGTTCTTGCCACCAGCTCAGGTGACTGACACAAGGGTTGAAGCAGCTTAAGAATAGTAGTGGAAACATTCCTGGAATCTGGGAGACTCAGGGCAGTCCTGACTGTGCTCCAAGTGAACCCTGTGCCCTTGGGCCAGTTATTTTTTTCCAGATCTCCCTCGTTCTGCATTTGTGGTGACAGGTTTTGATAAGATTGTTTTCAGGGTTCCTTTGAGCTCTAGAATGTGATGTTCCTAAAGTTGACAACTTCATAGTAATTACATTATATTGATTCTGGGGTAAGGTGGGATTGATGAAACCATTTATGCATTTGGGCTAAAGTGGCTTAAGAATCAGTTTCTTATTCATTTGTTTGCCTTGTTAATTGTTTTACTGAAAAGATACGTTTCTTCTACAGCGGATAGCTAAAGAAAGACAAAAGCAATATAACTGCCTGACACAGCGGATTGAACGAGAGAAGAAATTGTTCATTATTGCACAGAAAATTCAAACTCGCAAAGATCTTATGGTGAGGAGAGAGAGCCTTAGGCTTTCTCTTGTTTTTTTCTTTTTTTCTTATAAAGGTCTTAACTGAGACTGAATTTCAGCTGTGTGTAAATCAACCCAGTGAAAATGTCTGCTCCTCAGGGGCAGTGGTTTGAGCCAGTGTCTGTTGCCCTGACAGTGTTGAAATGTTCCTTGATTAAGAAGGTAATAAGGGGGTTATTAGTCAGTGCCTTCGAACAGCAAAGGGTAGGATCGGGTAGCATATGAACTTTATAGCTTATGAGCAGCTCCCGTAACATTTAAACAGGTTAACAAAACAGTGCATGTCACTCATTGGTGTTTAAAAATAGACAACATTGTGTAGTTAAATAGCAGAGCTAAGGAATATAAGATGCCTCTTTCATATTATTATCATTCCTTTAAATGTCAAATTCTTTAGCCTTGCAGATCATTTCGGTCAGCCTTTCTCAACTAGGGTTCCGTGAGAGAATTAAAATTATAATTTTAAATAAAACAATTATTTGGACACCTCTCTTTAATTTTTTCAAGGACAGTAATAGCTAATAGCATTCTCGATGCTCAGAAGGAAAGTTAAGGCATTGCGTACAGTGGATGTGTAGTGCAGTGGGCCCTGAAGCTTCCGAGTTCTGAGAAGACCTGTATTGGAGGCTTTCTAATCAGTAGTTTATTAACCTTTCTATTTTATAAAACCTTCTGTTTACTGATTGATCATCTTTTTATTCTTTTAATTTTTTTATAGGATAAAACTCAGAAGGTGAAGGTGAAGAAAGAAACAGTGAACAGCCCAGCCATTTACAAGTTTCAAAGTCGTCGGAAACGCTGAAGTGTTATAGATAAGCCTTATCATTCTGCATCAAAAATAATTCCAGTTTTTTTTTTTGTTTTTTTTTTGGTACCGGGGATCAAACTCGGCACTTGTGCTGGCGAGGCAGGCAGTGGACCACTGAGCGAAATCCCTGGCCCAATTCTAGTTTTGATAATTTCATATTCCATTAGTTCAAATAGCATGTTTTTTTTGTTTGTTTGTTTATAACCATGATTTGTTGTTGATCTAATATTTGATGTCTTTCTATGAGAAATATTAAAATCCCTTGCCCCATGTCATTGTTTTTGGTTTATGAAATCAGTCTTTTTTTTTATACAATATTTACATGTTTTTCACTATGAAAGTTATATGACTTCAGTACAACAAAGTAGAAAATAGATGAATTCACTTCTAATTTCAATACTTACTCAAGAACAACAAATAATTATTGCGTACTGGAAGCTAGAACTACTGAGGTAAACAATTGCTGTGAGCATTCTGGTTTATTTTCTTCATTTCCTTTATTTATTTTTTGGTACTGGGGATCAAACTCAGCACCTTGTGCTTGCAAGGCAGGTGGCGGCACCACTGAGCTAAATTCCCAGCCCTGTTTTCCTCACTTTATAAAGCTGGGCATTGGTTTTTATTTATATTTATACATTATAGCTATAATTTAAATAATTTTATATCCTAATTTTTAATTAAATCATTTCTGTTATATCACTGAATTTTTCAAAAGTAATATATTCATAGTAAAAATTAAAATACTCATTTTTATGATTGTCTAATGTTTTATCCAGTGGGTAAACTTATTTTATGCTCATTCATCCTTTTATTGGTTATTCAGGTGGCTTCATAAATTATCCAAGGATAAATTTTTTTCTTATGCTTTACATATAAAGGTAGAAACCCTTGGAACTAAGAACTCTCAGGAGCACCAATTCTTTGTTGTTGAAGCTCAAATCAAAATATATTAGAGGTGGGCCAGGGATTTAGCTCAGTGGTTTCGCCGCCTGCTGCGCAAGCGCAAGGACCCGAGTTTGATCCCTGGTACAAAAAAAAAAAAATTAGAACTGGCTCTGTTTCTGCTCCTTGACCACTCATGATTCCAAGGCCATAGGTGGCTTCACCCTGAGAATACAGACCCAGGCCCTGTGGGGCAGTTTCCTTTTCATCCCAGGGTCCCACCCTTCCTTTCCTTGCCCATTTAGGGATATAGGCCAAGGCCAGTTGGGACAGGACTGAGCATGCTTAGCGTAAAGGTGGGAGAACAGAACAGGGGAACAAGGCTCTGGGACGCTTGCTCAACCTTATCCCCTCAGTAGCAATAGTTGTGTATGGATTTGAAAGATTTTTTACAAAAAATTATTGTTAATACTTAATAAGTATCCATGACTGTTAAGTTCCTGTATATAACCTAAAGTGAAATGAATTTTTTTTTCCTTGTAGTGTACCAGTGGATTCAGATCTGGGAGTCCTGGGAAATAAGGGCTAGAGGAAAAGAAGAGAGCAGATTTTGCCTTCGGGAAGAAAGTGCTCCCAGCCTGAACTTCCTTCTGGGGAGGTGCTGAACTCAGCTAGTGCTGATTGTCTTAGGAGACTTTGAGTCCCAAGCCAGGGAAGGGATCTGTCACAGGGATGTTAGAGCTTGAGAGGGACTTACTGCAGTGAGAGAATTTTAAAGTGGTTCATGAAAGAAATCTTGTACAGTTACACTCTTAGGAGCAGGAAGACTAAGCAATGATCTTAGCAGAACCCAACAGCTGGGTTCTGCTACTCTGACTCTTGGCCCTGCTTGGTGGGAGTGGGGAGAGGATAGGGAGTGTACCCGAAGGCCTTCTCATAAAGTTTACACCCACACAGAGGTACACGTGCTTCACAGACTCTCACATTAACATGCTCAAGGCACGTATGACTCAGGTCTCAAACAGGTACAGGCACACTTACCTGTCTTCTCATGCAGACACAAAGGATGATGCTTAAAGGCATTAAAGGCATGTGTACAGGCCAAGAGAAGCAGAAAAGCCCATTATCTTGGTCAGGTAAGGGGATGAGGCTAGGTAACCTGAATTTCTGTGCTACAGGGGTGTTTTGGGGGCCTGAAGATTCTAGTGGAAGAGACTGGCTGCCCCTTTTGACTAACCCACAACAAACTCCAGCCTCATGGGTCCTGAGACTAGGCTTGGGATTTGAATTTTTGCTATTTTGTGGGATCCCAGATTCCTGGCTCACTGGGAAAGGGAAAATATATTGTTTCCTCAGAACGAACCTTTCTAGACTTAGAGGATGGTTTGGGCTTTTTATAACATACCACTCTGGTTGTTCCAAGAGGACTGGGCAGCCTGCAGAGTGGAGCACTTCTCTGTGAATCAGGACTCTTGTTTGGTTCAAGTCTTTTGGATACAACATCTCCAAAGCAGCAGCTGTATGGATCCCGTGAAACCCCTAGGTCTATCCAAGAGACAATCAGCCCAGCTCAGTCTTAGTTGGTGGCCTCATTTTAGGGCCCTTTTGACAAAGCAGGATAGTGTCAAGCCTTTACTGTATTCTCCAGGAAGAATCTGATTCCCGTCTGTAGAAGGAACTGATTCCTGGCGACAGGGTGGAAAAGGGTCCAGCAGGTGGAGCTGCTGCCCCTTTGCTGGGCTTAGGTTTCAGCAAGCTGGTGTCCACCCACACTTAACACACTTTGCTTCTGTCAAAGCTGCATATTCTCTGGAGGTGCTCAGTGTGGATTTATTTATGAGTTTGATGGCATGGGGGAGAGCCCTCAATAAAGGAGATTCTTCTCCCTCTGAGCTTAAGATTCATGTGGCCCCAAGATGAGTGGGGAAGAGAGTCTTCCTATTTCTAGTAAGGACTGTGTAGGGAGCACTGTCTTTTCTAGGGCTCTTGTCACAGAGTTTCAGGCTTCCCACAGGGTGGTTCCACCAGAAAATGGTAGGGGTCTCCCTCCATGCATTTTTGAGGGTTAGTCTGTGGCTTGCTGTCTCGTGGTACAGCTGGCTGTGGAGCACTGAACAATTAGAGCTGCACGTCTTCCAGCAGGGAAGGCAGCCAACAGATAGCTCGCTCTGCCTGCCTGTGGAGGCTGGTGAGGCCCAGGACCTGTTGGGACTTGAAACAGTGAGGCAAGTAGCTATTTGGTCCTGGGCTCTCTTCCTCCTCAAGCCTATGGCCAGCCACTTCCCAGATCCTCCTGTAAAGGACGTTGCATAAGGGCGGGTAGAACCTTGGATGAGTGGAAGAATCGGGGGTGGACCTGAAATCACGTCTCAAGGCTGAGCTGGCAGGTTTCTTGGGCTTGTGTAGCTGCCTCCTGGGGTCAGAGGGTGCACTGTCTCTAGCCAGTCAGGTCATGGGGCCTTTGTGCTGGCAGGTCTTCCACTGGCCCTATGGGTACAGGGAAGGATGAGAGAATAGCTGCAAAACAAGACAAGGCAGGGCTTCTGTTCCTAAGTCCATGGCTGGGAACATACTCTAGCATGGGTAAGGCCTGAGTTCCACCCTCAGCATGGCAACAAACAAAATGTATACCTAAGTCCAGCATTGAGACAGGAGACTAGAAGAGGCTGCTTCTGCTGGCTTTTCCCTAAACAGCCCTGGTCAGGAAAAAGCATCTGTTTCTTCAGACTCTGTATCAGGAATCTCTCTGCTTGTGCTTCTTGGATCCACCATGACTTGGGAAGTCCTGTCGCCACTGTCACAGATCTCCCTGTCCATGTTGTCTGCTTCAGTCAATGGCCTTGTGATGGCAATAGCCACCTCCTCTCATGCAAGGGAGCACCCCGATGATGGGCAGTTGTATAGTCTGGAGCTCTCTGGCCCTCTAGGGTGCTGGTAGAGGCTGGTCTGGAAGAGAACCAAGTTCCCAGCTACTTTCTAGGCAGGGGACTGCTATGTTTGGCGCTAAGAGGAAGGTGGGAAGGAAGCCCTTTGCTCTGTCACCTGATGACCATGCTTAGATCATAAGTGTTAATGAAACCATGGTGCCCCAAGGCAGCTGGGTAGCACCCCCCTGCCCTGAATCAGCCTGACTCATTTACAGCTTTCTCCCAGTTACCCCAAAGGCTTCTCTGAGGTGACGAATGTGGGGGGTTGGTTTCAGGTTTCATGTTTTCACATAACTGGGTGGAGAAGAAAACCTTTCTAAACCAAAAAACTAGCTTCTACAGCAGAAACTACTTGTCCTGAGAGCACTAAAATTTCCCCGTCTTCTCTCCTTACCTGCTCAGAGACACTGAGACCAGAGACTGAGGGGTTAGGAGGAGGCAGGAGCCAGGGTGAATAGTGTTAGGGACAGCCCCTTTTGAGGTGGCAGCATCAGCTGCCTTCCTGCTTCAAGGGAGGGGAGGACCTTTGCAGGGCCCTCCAGCTGTGGAGCCTGTGGTCTGCAGTGCCCAGTGGTGGATTGCCAGGGCGTGGGACAGTCAGCTCAGAATGGGGAGGGACCAGAGAAGGAGGGGGCCGTCTCCCTACCCTACATAATTTGATCCCAGGAGGACTGGGACAAGTGTCCCCCCTCAGGAGGGCTCTTTAGGTGGAGAAATACAGCGTCCATCTGGCATACGGAGGCAGGGGGGTGGCACCCCCTCCTATTCCTGGATGGTTGCATTCTAAACCACCCCCCGCCAGGGGCAGATGGCCTCCATGGCAGATGGAGACTAGGCCAGCAGTGGCTGGCTGAGCTTTCCAGTCTTAGCCTGGCCTCTCTAGTTAATAAGACAATTGGAGAGGTGGTGACAGGGCTAACCGTGTGTGTGTGTGTGTGTGTGTGTGTGTGTGTGTGTGTAGGACAGGAACTCCCAGACTTGTTGGGCCATTCTAGGGGAGAAGTAAATGGCAGACCCCAGATGGAGCCAGTGGATCTCAGGGGCACATTCAAGTTTGCTGTGTGGGGGTGGCAGGTGCTCAGGGCCCAACACTGCCCACCTGCCCAGGTTCTTGGTGTTGTGCTGCTTAGTTCTCCAGTGAAGGAGATGGTCTCTGGGGTGGGAGACTGCTGCAGTGGGAGCCTCGCCTGCTTGATGCAGACCCCCTCCCAATCCCCAGAGCACAGGGTCTGGGCAGCAGCTCCTCCCAGAGGATGTGCCCCTTTATTATGCGCTCCTGCTCTCTCACTGCTCAGGCAGGCAGCGGCCCTTCATTAGCGGAGGAGCTGGGGTCTGTTTTGGCTGCCTCATCAGCATCAGTGAACTGCGTCCCTGCGAGATTTGATACAATTTAATTAACCTAATTAAAAGCTCTGATTGCAGAGATGATTGGGGTAGCGCCAGCAGCGACTGCATATTTATAATGAGCTGCAAGGTGTGGGACCGCAGCCAAACGCCACGCATCCTAATGAGCGGGAGCCGGGAGCCAGGGAGCGGGAGAGGGAACGTTTATTTTTGGCAACAATGCCCAATTCCTCCCTGCCAGGGAGTCAGAGACCCAGAGAGCAGAGACGGACCTGCCTAACACGCTCTTCTGCACAAGGTGGAAGCAGAAATGTGTGCTTTCCACGCATTTTTGGGCCTCTGGACCTGCACCGTGTCAGTGCCTGTGGCTGTTTGCAGAGTGAGGGACCAGAACCCAGTAGTGCGCTTTTCCTGCCTCTCTCCATGCTTAGGATCCAGGGGCTGCCTTTGGAACCATGAACCTTCCTGGTCTGAGGAAATGGCCCAGCAGAACTGCCTCATTTCTGGCCTTCAGCACTCCTTGGCTGTTCTCTCAGACTTAACGAAGAAGAGTCAGAGGCTGATAGGACTGAGGCTGACAAACTAGGTGAGATCAGAAAAGCTGTTTGAATGTCCTGGAGTCCTAGGTGAGGATCCTGGGCCTGGGGTAGACAGGAGAGATACCACAGATGAACTCAGTCATCCTGGAAGCTGGGGTCCCATACCCCCACCACCTGGCTCCTCAGGACCCTGTCCAGAGAGGACCAGCTCCCTGGACTCTCCTCTCCTCTCCCATTGCCTCTGTCTGGGGAATCTTGGTTTGTCTGACTCAGCGCTTCCGCTGTAAATCACATCTAATAATAACGAGAGTGAGAGCTGAGGTAGAGACGCCGTGGGTGAGGGGGCACCAGTGAGAAGGGGCGTGCTCCCCAGGTGTCAAGGGGGCGGGTGTCTCTGTGTGGCAGGAACGGGTTGGGATCTAGAAGCCACCATCAAAGGTCTTGTGGGGATCAGCCCCCCATCCCCATTCCTGCTTTGGAGCTTGTGTAGGTCATGAGCTCAGCAGGCTGGCCCAGCCCCCTAGTGCTTTGAGCACTGCCAGGACAAGATGAGATTTGTCCCCAGCCCACCTTGCAGAGGTGCAGCTGTTCAGCTCCCTTATCAATCTTCTCTGTGGGTTTAATCATCTCTCTGTCATCCTGCTGGGGCAGCCCTCCCCTTCCCAGAGCCCCCAGAGGGGCTGGAGTGCCTCAGCCCCGGCTTTTCTCCAATCTCCCTCCCCCAGGCACAGCCATCGTTCCCCACCTGACTCTGGTAGGAGGCAGGGTGAGGTAGGGTGCCTTTGCCTCAAGTCTCAGTGGCAGTGGTGGGCATCCTTATTTTTGCAAGGTGTAAATAGGACTAAGGGTGGGCCAAGGTGACACTGGCAGAAAATCTGTCCTAGCTGGGTCTCTATTTGACTCCATTCCAGGCTGGGTAGGACAGGACCTAAAGGGTGACCATGGGAGCCTTCAGCCCAGACCCTGGAGTTTCTTGTGTAGGTGCAGTATTCATGCCTCCTGCCCTTGGGAGTGCATCCAGTCAGCCAGCTCTGGCCTCCTTCCCTGGGTGCATCCTGTGAGGCTCAGGGGCCTGTGGGCAGGAACCATGAGCCCACGGCTTTGTGAGCATCTTGGGAAAGAGGGTGCACAGGAGTCAATGGAGCCTGTGTTGTGGTCCAGGCTGGGAGCCAGGGCACAAGGGACTCCAGGGCCCCTCCCAGTGCTGACGCGCAAGATGACCTTCAGGGCTACGCTTCAGCCTTCTCTGCTGTGCTCTCTTCCCCCCAGAGCATCTGGGGAATGGGCAGGGAGGGGTGGCATGGTGCATATGTGGCTCTCAGAGAACATAAGAAAGAGGGCCCTCCTTGCCTGCTCCTCCCTCCCCAGCCCAGGCATTCTTAGTGCCACGGGAAGGACATTCCTCCCCATTTCTCAGAAAGGGATGTAAAATCCCAAAAAGGGAAGCGACTCACCTGAGCATCACTCAGTTTTTCCTCCAGGAGAAGACTGAAGGAGCCCCAGGGGGTCCCCTCAGGAGGGGTGAACAAAGTAGCCCTGGCCTGGAGGGTACAGCACAGGCTGGGCTCTGGAAGACAATGGAGTGTTGACGAGGCTTTGGTCCTGGTCTCACATGACCTGACCAGGGTTGTGGGTGTACTGCACGTGGCTGAGCCACCCCAGCTGACCTTTGGTTGCTGGCTAGGGAAAAGAGGAAGCCATGAAGTCTCCTGCCCACTCAATGCCCTGGGCACCCTCAACCCCCACCCCAGGAACTGCCCTCTGGGCACACACTCTTCTTTGACCTACCTTCTTCTTTTAGTCTTCTTTTCCCTTTCTCTTTGCTCTGCCAATTGTGAGAGTATGCACATTGTGTGTGCATTTGTGTATGACTGTATATGTCTCTGTGAATATGAGGAGGGAGACACAGAGGATGAAAGGTCGGGAGAGAATTCTCCTTTATGTGCTCTTCCCAATCTGGAGTAAAGACCTAGTTTCTTCCATGGTGGGTGTCCGGGGATGAGGTCAAAGTGTATGTGTATGTGTCTTCACATGTACATGCTTATGTAGAGGTCCATGTCTCCTATCCTGCCTTGTCCTTTGGTCTGTGTCCTCCTTTGGTGAGAGAGGATGACTTCTGTGGTCAGCCTCTTCCAGTTCAAACTGCAACCAGAGCTGTGACTTTCAAAGCAACAGAGCTGCAGGGCCACTTTCACAAAGAAGAAGGAAGACTTTTGGGGGTTGTATAATTATTCCAATCAATGAATTAACTAAAAATTACCATTCAATAAGGAAGCAAGGCGCGCGCACACACACACAAAGAATTGCACAAAGACAAGGATACACAAGAAAAGTCATGAGAGGGAGACACACTCATGGGCACACTTATGATTTTTTTCTGTACTGGGATCAAACCCCAGTCCTTTTACATGCTAGGCAAGTACTGTACCACTGAGCTACATCTCTAGCCCTACACATATCATTCTTGAAGGAGTTACCTGTCCTTTGTCCTCTTCCCTCATCAAGATGCTAAGGTAGGTGTAGCAAAGACAGTTATTACAAGAGAATCTTCCCCTGAAGTCCCCAAGGTGCTGAAGTCCAGGGCCTTGGAAATGGGTAAGCCAGTACAAATGATTTGGTACAGCAGTTGGGAAGGAAGTCTACAACCTGACTTGGTCAACATACCATTACAAACATTATGTGAAGTTTTGATGAGTCCTCTTTTGATGGGAGCCCCATCCAGTGTTTCCACTAGGACCATATGTATACTTTTTTAGAGGCCCTGAGAGTGTGTGGAGAGAAGCTAAATCCCCAGACTTTGGGTGAGATGGGGCTGGGATGTCCAGATGTTGGCAAAGGGAGGCCTCTGGGTGAATAAAGTGTCTTCATACTTACTCTCTAGACTTTTTTCAAACAGCGTCAGGTGGTCTGGCTGAGGAGTGTTTCTGGACAATTCCACCTCCTTCCCCTCTGCTCCCTCCTTTGGTCCTCAAATGTAGTCCTATGAATTCCCTCAGATGCTGAGGGAGTATGGAATGGTCCTTGCCAAGGAAGCAGAAAGAACATACCTGGAGGGGCTGAGATGGAGGTTTAATGTGACCCAGTGGGGTTAGGAATGGGGTACAGGGCCTAGCTGGGATTTGAAGTTGAAGTTGAGTTGCATATGGACTGAAATGGAGTGATGGAGGATGGCAGGGCATCTCTTTTAGTCTTGACAGGATTCTGAGATGCCTCTTTTTGAAGTCCAAGGCAGATGTTCACCCCCAGTGAAGAGTGTTTGGTGGCTGCTCTCCCTTGGAAGGGCGGGGCAGGTCCCCTCCCCCTGCTCCTCACAGCTGAGCAGAGTCATACATCACCAAGGGGCTGGGGCTCCTTAGATGTATTGCCCTAATACGTCGCTATAGCAACCCCACTCTAATCCTGCATTATTCTAATGTGGTCCCCTCCCCACTGTGATGTATAGCTTGGGTCTTAGAGTTGCTAGGCCCCTTCTCTGAAAGAAACTGCTCCAAATACCCCAGGGATGTGTGTCCTTAGCTGCCTTGGGTCCCATCTTGACATTCTCATCCTTTTCAAGGCTGAGTGTGGAGGCGGAGTCTGGCCCATCAGCCTACCAGCCTGCCTACCCAGAGAGGGAAAGCTGCAGGTCATGTGTTCCTGGCCCTGGCACACGAGTGCCTGACACACCGACCCACGCCAGGCTGCCTGGCCTGAGGACCTGAGGCCTTGGGGTTGGGGGCCAGGGCAGGACAATGGCTGCATTCCGGCTGTTAGCCACAGGCTCCCATTGTTTCTGTGGACACTGCCTGCTTGAGGGCTGTGATTCTGCCCCTCAACCCTCATGGGGCGTAGGATGCTCCCTGGACCACTCCCCCAGGGACCATAGAGGGATGATTCATGGAGTGGCCAGAGCAGAGCAGGCCCTAGCTATGCCCAGATTCTGGGAGGTGGGAGGGGGAGGCGACTGAGGGCTGTTTGTGTCAGGGGAGGAGTGGCTGAATAGCCAGAGGACTCAGGGCCCTGGTCACCAACCACGTCATCTCCTACGCTTCCTCGTGTGTGGGCTGGTCAGAGAGGCCCCATTGTCAGAGGAGCAGGCCCACCCAGGCTGGAAGGCAAATGAGAACCTCAAAATTAAGAAGAGACATGGTCAAGGAAATGGTGGGGATCTGCTCCAAGACACACATATTCAGGTAGTGATAGGCCTGGGACCAAAGCATTGCCATATATCTCCTTACTGCTGAGACATGGCTGCCATTTCTGATAGAAAATGGAGTCCCAGTGGTGATCTTCAGCAGTTATGTTTGTAAGCTTCTTCCTTTCCCCTGCTTCCTTTGAAATTCATCAGATTAGGGCAGCACTTGGCATCCTTGGAGTAAGAGACGAGAACTTAGGGGAGACCTATTGCCATGCAGAACCATCTGGACCACACCTTGCACAGGGCCCTGAAGAAATGAGTAGGGTGTGGAAGTTCCCAGCACTCTGACACACAAGGTTCATAGAGACAATAGACCTCATTGTTTCCTTCCAAAAATTTTCTCATGTGGGCCCTCACATACCTAACCTACGAGAGGCAGGGAGGGAATGAGACTACTTTAGGTATGTTTTGAGGACAGGGAGCCTGGCCTTATCTATCTCTGTGCACAACATTGGCCCTGCTTGTTAAATTCTATGACTGGATGAGTGGATGGTAGACAGGTAGGTGTGTAGTTAAAGAGGTGGTTAAAGGGTGGATGGATAAATGGACAAGTAGATTGGATGGTTGCATGGATGGGTAGATGACTGAGTGGAGTATAGGATGGATACATAAATGAATTAGGGAATGCCTATTTCATATTTTGAGGTGCAGGGATGACAAATGACCCAATTATGGGCTGAATCATGGAGTGAGGCCTGGACCAGGTATCTGAGCGTGAGTGGCCCTATGGCATTGTTTGGTGGTCAGTCTCTGAGCAGGGTCACAGTAGAACCAGGAGTGGAGACTTGAAGGAATCTACAGTCAGATTTAATCACACGGTAGACAGCTCTACAGGTTCTAGGGCAGTGATGGCAAACCCTTTAGAGCTTTCAGTGCTAACAAACAGCCAGTTGTGGCACGTGTATCATAACTACACCACCACTGGCCTACAGGCTTTGACCCTGAGTGGCATCTTCTGTGCTAGGGTCAAAGGTTGGGCTCAAGGCCACTGGAGGAAGGATACTAAGCAGGGCAGGAAAGACATGAAAGTTCAGGAAGGGGGAATGAGGGGGATCTGAGGGCTCTGTGGCTGAGTGACTTTCCTTGATCATGATCCAGCTGAATGGTGTCATCCTCTATAAATGGTGTCTTCCCTGCCCCTCTGTGTGCTGTCTCCCCAGAGCCCAGCACAGAACCTTCGTGTGAAGCAGGGGCTCAGTGTACATTGCTAAGGACACAAGGTTGCCACAAACAGGCAGACATGGGGAACAAGTTGAAAAGCTACCCCTAAAACTAACTTTCTGAGTTATTTTGGGCAAGGGCCTTAATATCCTTGGGCCTCAGTTTCTTTATCTGTGGACTGGGGATGGAGACCTTGAACTTTTCTTTCCCATATGGTTTTGAGAATGGAGAGAAATAACTCTTGGCTGGTGGAGGAGGGGAGCACTAGGAATCATTTTTCTGCAATGCTTCAGTTCAGCAATAATACATATTGTACATATAAAATTATTTTTATAGCTAACATTTAATGTGCACTCACAATGTGCCAGGCTCTCTTCTAAGTGTTTATATATATCATTTCTCATCTAGCACTCACAGCGAGGCTACGAAGCAGGAACTATTATTATCATCATTCACAGAGGAGGAAACTGAGGCCAGTGTGTATTAGGTGGTGCAGCTAAGACAATCACCCGGGGAGATACCAGGGCCATATCCTTAGGTACTGTATGTGGCTGCTAGTACATGGTGCTTAGGATGGACCAATTAGGAGGGCTTCTTGACTGTCCTGATGATCTTAGCAAATTATCCCACTTCCTTGAGCCACATGAGATTCACCTAATTGTGTGGTGGAGAGAGGGGCAGACTAAAGCCAATTAGCTCCAACACTGTTGGTTTCCAGTTCTCTTTCTGTCCGGTCCTGAGTTCTCAAACTTCTTCCACTTTTGGCAAATAGCCAAGTAACGGTGTTCAATATACCACTGTTTGCCTTCTAAGGGGTATACAAAGAACACCAGCCCAGAAGTAAGATAAAATGTATTTATCTTGCTGCCTAGGGCAGGTCACTAAAACTCTCTAGGCACTAGTTTCCTTTTCTGTAAAATGGGGATATATAACGTGAGATAGTGAAAATGAAGCACCGAGTAAGTGCTGAGTAAGTACTGTGTCAGACTGCCTAGGACACAGTGGGGTCCATGGTCCAAGTGATGTATATTACGGCATTCTTCCCTGTTCACTCGTTTCTGCACAATCTCTCCCCCTCCAGGGTTCACAATAAAACCACCTTCACTTTGCATTCACTTACACTAAACATAAGACCTACATTATCCCCCTTAATAACTATGATAAGGGGTCAACCATTGTCACCATACCAGAAACTGAGGCACAGAAATATAGGTTGTTGGCCTAAAGCCTCAGAACTGCCAAGAGGTGGAGCTGGGATTGGTACCCAGGTCTGTCTGGTCCCACAGCCCCTGTGGTTTACATTCTGCTCTCTGTCTCTCCTGAGGGTCTTCGAGGACGATGGGAGAAGGCTAGAGGGGGCCCTGCCACAGGCTGGCTGTGTTCCTGAGCTGCTTGGGTCATGGCCATAGCTAGTGCTCTGAGGACACAGTCCCTCCTCCCCAGCTGGCCCAGCCCCAGGGAGTCCCCAAGGATGGTGACAATATTCTACTTCCAGTCCACTGGAGCAGTAGCAGCACAGGGTCCAGGTCTGCTCTGGCTCTTTCTCCTTTTCAAAGCTGAATAATCTGGAGCCTTTGAAGAAGGATTTCTGAAAAGCCATCAGGAGTGAATCATTGACTTAGGGAGGCGATGAATCAACGGGGAGTTCATAAAACGGCAAATGAATCGGGTGTGAGAGCAACGGAGCCGCTGCTATTCCCCAGAACCCTCCGGGGACAGAGAGCCGAGAGAAAAGAAATAAAAATAACACGGGGCCTTCCGCCTGCTACCAACCCGAGGCAACCCCTCCTTCCATGCTGGAAGACAGAGTGGAATGGAGGAATGGGACCCACTGGTGAGAGAAGTGGGGGAGAGAGAGGCTCCCAGGGCACTCTTGGCTCCCTGGGCCCAGGTTGTGGGTGTAATTAGCAAATGCCTTTTTCCCTTCTTTTCATGAGCCCTCACAAGAAAGAACACTGATTTTGACGAACACCCAAAATAATGTGAGATCAGGCACCATGCATTATGCATGAGGTCTGATTTAACATGAACATTATTTCTTGTGTACGAGACCATATGCCTCCGTGCTGTCTCTGCAGCCTAATAATACCCAGACCCACCCTGGTCAGGCTCAGCGGGAGGATGTGTCCACTGATGTGTGTGCAGGGGGTGAATGTGAGTCGGGGAGTGGAGCAATACCCTCTTAATCCATAGGTCATCTGAAGAGAGCCATCAGATGCCCTGGAGGAGGTGGGAAGCAGAAAGAGGGTTATGTCCTTGGGGAAACATCAGGGAGCTGGGAGTGGGTGTAACCCAATGAAAGTGCCACTGTGTGTACCTGTGTGCATATGTGCATGAGTGTGTGTGCATGTGTGTGCATGCATACGTATGTGTGTGATATCAGTGGCCCATGAGTAGGTGACGTGGGGTTCACTGCATGGCAATGTGGGGGCCTGTGCATAGCTGAGGTTTTACTGCATGGAAAGGACGATGGGAGAATGGATAGATCTAATTGCTGTGTGTGTTTGTATATATACACGCATATGTACGTGTGGGGGTGTGTGTTTAAAAAATAAGATCGCACATACATACAAACACACAGCCTAACTTTAATTATCTGAAAGGAGCAGGCAGAGATCTGGGAGGAGCTGGGACAATGATGGGCAGGGGTGTGTTTGGAAAACAGTTTGTGGGGTAAGTGCTTGAAAAATCCTAAGAGGAGAGGACCTGGTCCAGAGCTACCCAGGGTGGTTGTGTGTGCACAATCAAATATTCCATGTGTCAGGTATCTGGTGACTCGTAAGAGCTCCATGCCAAAGACTGAAAAGATGGTCTTAGAGGGCCAAAACAGTGGTGTGGGTGTATCATGGGGGTGTCAGCATGTGTGTGAGCAAGCTGGTGAGGGCCTGGGTTGGGTTTTTAACTGGCTGAGAGGAGGAGAGACAGGGGTGGGTGTGATAGGAAGTAGTGTGAGATGGTGGGTTTCTCAGAGTGGCCATGCAAATTGGTGGGTAGTAGATGAAGAGGGAAAGACCACAAGCAAGCACGTATGTGTGCGTGTGTGTGAAGCAGGACTGCTTCCTCTGCCACCCTAGCTGCACACCCCACAGAGTAGCCACTTGAAGCTGATTTTAGGGGCCTGGTTAACTTCAAGGTACTC